GTGATTGCGGGTTTTATCAATACTATCTAATGACAAAATCCGCAATCACTTAGTTGTCAACCCAATAGTTTCAGAAGCGTATAAAATTGAAGGTTCTAGTATTGGGTTGGCAACTAATTGATTGCGGGTTTTGTCAATATCATCTAATGACAAAATCCGCAATCACTTAGTTGCCAACCCAATAGATTGTCCGGAAAGTTTCTTACAAAACTGAAGTTTCAAAAGCGTTCCAGAAGCGCGCAAAATTGAAGGTTCTAGTATTTGGTTGGCAACTAATTGATTGCGGGTTTTGTCAATATCATCTAATGACAAAATCCGCAATCACTTAGTTGCCAACCCAATAGGTTGTTCGAAAAGTTTCTTACAAAACTGAAGTTCCAAAAGCGTTTCAGAAGCGCGCAAAATTGAAGGTTCTAGTATTGTATTCTAGTATCAATACCACCTAATGACAAAATGCGCAATCACAAAGTGCGATAGAATTAATCTCTCACGCGACAGGAGTATTCCTTGCTTCGCAGTATAAAGTTCGTTAGGTTACGTAAGAATAAACAAACTCCGAGCCAAAGAACGTCGCCGCTACATGTAACCGTAAACAAAGACAAATTTGAATCTTCCGACTTCCCCCCGACTATTATAAATAAACGGACGCGATCGCAAACGGATTATAACTGCGACCAAACGACGTTACACACACCGTTTCGCGACTAGGACGTTGTACTGACAATTTTAAACACATTAACGATTTCACCTACTAGTAATCTCATCATTCAACCTCCTACATACGAAAATCCTTAGCTTCTTCAAAGACTTAACCGAAAGTTCTATCCTTCGAGGAATATTTACTCTCGTTAGAGGTAGTCGAAGGAGAAGTTAAGGCTGAGAAACCGAGTCGTGGCGTACATGTTGATGATCGTGGATTATTGGAAGGCGTAAGAACGGTTAAGAGGGCAAAAGGAAGAAAGGGAATTAACGACCGGTTAAAGATCGATGTTGCTCGGTTCTCGTAGCGTTCGCCCTTCTCGGAAGAATCGGATGAAAACGCCACGTAACACGTGGATCGTAAACCGGTGCCGACTTCACGAACCAATAAGTCATTTGCATTTTCCTTGTACTTCAAACTTTGAGAGCGTGCACTTCGATTTTTATCACTCTATAAATCTGAAGAAACAAGGAGAAGTCACGCAATCGAGGCAGCTTACACTACGTTGTTTTCTACGCGAATTACAGAAAAGTACGTGGCGTTTCACCTTTTCTTCGACAAATTGCAGAAACGTAATTCACTGGGTCGCGTGCTGCAGCCGTACATCAGATTATGCGAAAATATCATTTTGGCGTTATTCTTTCATTTTAAATTTCCATTAATAAATTTCCTCCGCGAAGGCTGTACGAAGAATTATTTCAGAACTACTACTCCATTTTTTAAAAAGACAGTGTCGAAAACAATAAATCTCCTACGAAAACATCGAAACAGCGAGATACTAAATCTTCCATAGGAATACTATATACGAATTCGTTTAAAGATCGTTCCTCCTTATTTTCCTACCAAGGCATCGAAAACTGAAAACGCTAGATTTCCTATGTAAACGCTAACGGAGTGAAATATTGCCGTAAAAATATTCCTCCTCGTTTCTACAAAAGCGTGGAAAACTCGGAGCGATAAATTTCAAAGAATTCCTCTCTCGAATTGTTCGAATCCTATCGACGGCGCAGAGCTACGAGAGGAATTTCCCTTCGACCGCATTTCCACGATTCGATTTACACGACGAGACTCGAAGCAACGCATAGGTGGTAGGTACGTTCTCGAGATCAAAATCGGAGGAGGTGCGCTTTCAGGGTCGACGATCGTCACGCGACCATCTCGAGCCAAAGTTGTAGCGATTTTCCAAGGCTCCCCGCAGACCGACGTTTCTCACGATAACGTATGTGACAGGCATGGCTATCGACCAACCGCGTAAAGCCAACAACGTTTCATCCGTGTTCTGCCATTCGTTTCACTTTTTCGCCGGCTATCTCTATGTTGCGTTTTATCGTCCTTCTTTTATCGCTAGCTATATACTACCAGCTCAGATATCTTTATCTTTCTGCCAAAATATCTCTTATTTGATACGATTTATAGACGAACAATGGTGAAATAACTCGTTTTCGCGACTCACGTTCGTTCCTCGCAACTAATATCGCTTGCAAACATTATAATTTAGCGTAAGTTTTTGGCTATTCGATCGTGACAGCTCCGGACGTATTAATTCATTGGAAACTATGACCTCAGTTGTGAACAGCAAAGGCACGCGCTGTGAAACTGCATATTAGGATGTGCCGTGGCAAGAAGAAGAGGTCTGAGATATCTTCACGTTTGATTTGTTTAAGTTCAAGATGAGATTTACGTCGAGTTTACTTCTGTTTCAGTTGAATTCCGGTTTAGGCAGGTTACACGGGTAGGAAGATGGGTTTTGTGGTGAAAACAGTACGTAAGATAAGAGACAAGTCATCGTAAATGAAAATGGAACTCAGCGCCGCAGGATCGCGGACGAATAAATAATAAATAAACGATAATAAATAAGATGAATAAATAATACAAGTTTTTAGTTTCATTTGCAATCTAACGACAGAGGAATTGTTATACCGGAATCCCGTTTTTATGTTAGGCGTCTTCATCGTTTCTAGGAATATGTCGAGTATTTTTTCGTAATTATTATATTATATTTTATAGTAACCGTGAATGTTCGTGCAACTGTAGCTACTTTGTATTTGAAGCTATAAAAATGGATAAATAATACAGGATTGTAGTTTCATTTGCAATCTAACGACAGAGAAATTGTTATACCGGAATCCCGTTTTTATGTAAGGCGTCTTCATCGTTTCTAGAAATATGTCGAGTATTTTATTGTAATTATTATATTATATTTTATAGCTACTTCGTATTTGAAGCTATAAAAATGGATACAACACGTGTGGATGTAATGGACGTGTACGTGAGTGAAACAAATGCCTCCTTGAATCTCTTCCCTTAAATCGGAATCACAAGAAAAGAAACGAATCTGCATAAATATCGGCAGCATAATAGTAAGAAACGCAAAACACGACATTGTAAGAAACTGCAACTGCGAATCGGGTTACATCACTGCGACTATCTGTTCGCCGTTAAATAATTATAGGCGAAGAATTCGAAAAAAAAAAAAAGTTGAATCTGCATATCACGCGGATAATATACTATAGTAAGAGGAACGAACACGTTGCACGATGTTTTATAACGCTCAAAGTATAATATGTAAGTACCCTGCTAAAACGTAGTTATGAAAGCAACGACGGTATACCCGTGGGTCTAATTATTTCTTAATCTTTTAGGTGAAATTGCGCGAACTCTTATCTCGACCGGATACATTTAACACAGCCGATCCTAAATTGATACCGCATTATAGTAAAAATTAGGTCGATTAGCCTTGCATCGTAATAATTATTCATTTGGTAACACAGTCTGCCAGCGTATTTTACATTTTCGTTAAGGTATATCGGATGTAACGCACGCAGAAGCAGTCCAGCTATGAGAATTTATAAAAATACCGATCGATCGTATAAAATAGTACATTTCACGTACCCACTCTTTTTATAGTCTCGGAATAAGAACAGGGATAAACGTTTCTCGTATGATACACGAAGCATACGTCGATTAAAATCTCACATTTCGATGTCTTTCCAATCTGGATATCGATCGAACTTAATTACAAGCTCAAGTACTTAAGGCGCTTTCGCAAGACGCGAACTTTTACACAAATCCATATTTATACCGATACGACTAGGGAAACGCGAGCTGAACAGAAGCTTCTTCCGCCCGTTCTAAATACTTTAAATTTATCTACAGGGTAGTTGGTAACTGGAGGTACTGGTGGATTCTACGCGAAAAAAGAAGTCGAAAATATAGAATAAAAATTTTTGCGTGCGGTACGTTATAACGGATCTCACTGTAGATCGTTGTCTCGATGGAGAAATTTAAAAAAATGAAAAAAAGAATTTTTATTGTATATTTTCGACTTCTTTTTTCGCGTAGAATCATCCTCTTTCCGCTTGTACCACCAGTTACCAACCAGCCTGTATATTTGTATATTTTTGCGTATCACGTACCTACGTATATCGATCTTACTAATTTCCTAAAATTCTTACCAAATTTCCCACAAATGTACAAACACGCACAGTCCATTTGTAATTAATAACTATATCGAATCGCTCGATATCTTTCGCGATTTTCTTGCCAATCTTTATCGGGCAATGATTCGCGCGACTCTGGAAATTCTAACGAATGTAAGAAGATTAGAGAAAAGATCCGGTAGGATTCCAAAGTCGTACTATCATCGTCGAAAATACCAAAATACCTCTGTACGTTCAATAAGCATTTCCTCTCGGTCGGATCGATATCGATTAAAACGCATCACAGAGAAGAACCAGCCGTGGAAAGCGTAAAAATAACGTAGCATTTTCGCTAGACGTTTCTAGTTTAAATATAAAGCGTATAGTCGATACAGAGGCGCATATATCGCTGTACGTACGTAGAAGCTCGGAACGTGCTGGTCGGATCTCGACGATCTACGGCCACGACACGGCGGAGAGTCTGCATTACTTATTCATTGTGTTGTCGATCGGCGAAACACTTGCAGCAAAAGTGGCATTACGTTTAAACGTCGGTTCACGTGTTCAAACCGGCAAGGCGTAAAACGTTCTCAGTTGGCGAACCAAGAATAGCGATTACCTACCAGTCAGCGATAAATTCCTCAAACATTCAACTCTATGCGCCAGGTACAAAGCTGTAGTTGCACGAACTCTTGCCCGATAGTTTGACCAAAAATTTTGCTAAACTTTCGCTACACAGCTTCGCTGCCTGTCTGATAGCGTAAGTCGAATCTACGAATGTAGATCAGACGACTTGAGAGTAAGACGGTTTACGCACGTTCGATCGATTAGACTATCGTCGCGTTTCCTTCGAATGATACGTGCGGTTCTATCTACCAGGCAAGTCGGTCTCGTGGTGCGATCGAGTGGCGAAATGATACATTATGCAGTTTCCTTAACACGCTATACACTTTCTTAACTTTTAAACGCCCTGCATTTTTCAAGACGTTACGCTTCTTGTTGCTCGGCTAACTTTTAAAAGCACGAAGCATGCATTCGATGTATGGACGTTCGGGTATCGGTAAGTTTTATGGCGGCCAGTAAACCGTTCGTAGATATTGGAAGATCCGCTGCTTTCGAGCACAGTCGACCCAGATTCAGACAAACGATTAATTGCATTTAAAGGCGAATTTGTTAACCGTCGATTTTAACCCGATTTCAACGTCGTGATACATAAGAATCTTCGACTATTATTCTGCCGCGTTGATTCAAATAGGCGTATTCGTTTAAGAGGGTAGTTTTGAGAAAGAGGAGTTTCAGCGTCCAAGAACCAGACGTCGATTTCGCCTGCGTCCGAAATAATTGAAACGAAAGCACGCAATTCGATGAAACGATCGCGCATCTACTATTTCCTTGTGAAACGAAAGCGACTATTCGGACGACCCAATACAAACCGTCGTACCTTCAGTTTCAACGGAAATTCCGCTTTCTTATTCGATACGCACGCAGATGAGCTATTTTTCTGCCAGCTGGCTGCAATGACTCGAGCATTGCCATTAGCGTTACCATTTGAGCATTTCAGCGTTCAGCATTACCATTCTACCCTCTCTCGTCGCAATCGTTCGCGATTGTCTATAATTTAGAAGTTGTAAGATTCGAAAGTCGGTGAAAAGTATTCCGTGAGCCGGCAAGTAAGCTATACACCGGCAGAATTTAGACGCGCTCGAAGCAACGAGCAAAGCCTTTTTCCTCCTGCAACAAAGAGGGTATTTTATAAAAATGTTAAGCCGACTTGCTGGAGACTCTGCTCGTTATCCGGCGGAAGTGAGCGAATTACCGGTTCTTTTACGCGAACGAACAATGATTATTAAAAATGGCATAGTATTATCGAGCGCGCGGCGTTCATAGGGCGAGCTTTGCATTCTTCTACGAGAAAGAGAGAGAAAGCAGTAAGTCCACGTTTACGTCACTCTGCACGTGAATACTCGTGCTCTCAGGTGCACATACGCGAAACTCGTACAAACGAGAGAAACTACGAGCAATAAGAGAGAAAGAGAGAGAGAGAGAAAGTTTATCGCGAGCGGAATTGCTTTTGTCACGCAGCTCGTTCCACGTTCGGCCTATTATCTCGAACACACGATGCAATTACGAAATTAAATACGTCGCCGGCCGATTCGGCAAAGGCGGCTGCTGCTTGTGGCGCCGATTTAATTAAGGGCCAAACCGAAGAAGTCGTAACGCAGAACCTTCTGTTTCGGCCACGTCGTCGTCGAAAGGGAGGAGCGCCCATCGCCAAGACGCGGCAGGCCGACCCTCGTAAATACAGGTAAACGAATGTATCACGAAAGCTCGTGCGCGCAGCAAAATGATCACTATTATCCTCTAACTGCAGAAACTCGAGCAATCTACTCGACCATCGAATATACCTTGCTTTATACCGCTACTGGAATTCGAGGTTGTTTCGCCAAGAGTAGATAACGCCTTTTCAAGTATCCTTTGCCTCGATCACTATCTTTTCTCTTGGCTCGGAAGATGTTGGCGAATTACATTGTCGGATGGTTCCAGGCCAATATCCAACGAACGTTCGAGCGGTCGTTTCATCTTTCCTTCTTTCAATCTTACGCTGCCCTTCTTAGTTGAAATCGGTTAGGGGTAATTCCGAAGACGAAGAAAACTATAGTTTTTGAAGGGAGAAAACGGAACATCCAAGTTCTTAAAAACGAACGTTCTAAGCGTCTGAAATATTTTGCTGTTGCTTCGCAAAAGCGCGTAACTTCGCTTAATCCCTTGACCTACAACAACGGGCACAACCCGTAGTACGACGATCGAGCCAAACGTAAATATTATGAGCGTAGCTCGTAGTAGATGATCGCACCAAACGTAAATATTACGGGTGTAACCCGTAGTACGACGATCGGGCCAAACGTAAATATTATGCGCGTAGCTCGTAGTAGATGATCGCACCAAACGTAAATATTACGGGCATAACCTGTAGTACGACGATCGGGCCAAATATAATATACAGGGTGGTTGGTAACTGGTGGTACAAGCGGAAAGGGGGTGATTGTACGCGAAAAAAGAAGTCGAAAATATAGAATAAGAATTTTTCGTTCGAGGCTTTGTTTTCGAGAAAATCGACTTTGAATTTTCGCTCGGTACGTCTCGTTACAACGGATCTCACTGTAGATCACTGTCTCGATTGACGTTATTTTTTTAATTTAAAAAATCGTTTAATTTTTATTCTACATTTTCGACTTCTTTTTTCGCGTAGAATCCCCTTTCCGTTTGTACCACCAGTTACAAACCACCCTGTATAGCAGCTTGTTTACGTTTTCGGCCCAAAATTCTCGAACGTAAGTCGTAGGTTGTGGAATTAGAGGATAAGAAACACGAGGAGACGGGTGGATTTGATGTATCTTGAAAAATTCCAAAAATGCCAAGCGGCACATTTCGACTAAGAACTCGACCGGGAAAAATACGTAAGAACGTGAATACATTTTTGTTAACGATAAAGAAGGTAGGTAAGGACTAAAGGAAGGTATAGAAGGTAATTTCGATCGTATAAAATTCATTTTGTACGACTTTTATCTCGCACTATGGCGTATAAAGCGACTACTGTTTCCCTTAAATAAAAATACATCGTGTTTAGCGTCGATATCGCTTTACTCTCATGATCCGATATCCGTGTGGCGTTTGCTAAGCGTCTCGTTAACACTATTTTCACTGCGGTAACAATGCAGAGTCGCGATTGTGACGTTGTGTTAATGGGCAACTGCTAACTGCGAAAACGCGACCGACGTTCGTTCGATAAAAGGCCTCGTTATTGTTTCAGCGAAGCAACGAAGCTCGTTTCATAGAACTGTCTGACATAACGCACGAACCGTAATGTGCAACGACATGATCGTTGCAGCTCATGCGAATACGCGATGAACTATCCTCCAAAATGGATACTAACGAAATCTTTAACAGTTGACTAGCTAATTACGCTACGAATGATAATTCATAATAATCTCCAGCGACAAGAAAATATATCTGATATAACGTACACATGATAACTTACCAATCGAAGAATCTTCTGCCGTGAAAAGTGCCGTCGGAGGAGCCATTCAAATAGGGTAACTCCACACCCACGTGAGTTTCCTCTCGACTTGGCACAGGTCCGACGTATCTCACTCGTCCTTGAAGAACTTTACCCTCCGGCGATATAACCTTCACGAGATGATCCAGCTTGAGATCTCTTGGTATCTGTCGAAATAAACACCGTAGATCGTAAACCAAGATCAGCAAGTGATCTACCGTAAAGTATACGATTTTAATTCTTAACGGATCGTTAAGAGACGCTCGACGTTCAATTAAGTTTCGTCTATCATCGACGAGTTTAACACCGATAACCATTCACCAGAATTAAAAAGAGCGAAACTTTCAAGCATCTGACCATTTCTCGTACGTACGGTAATTCATCGATTAAGCGAATTGACGAGCGATCGTACGAGCCGTATGTAATAACTCTCCTTCGTAACTTCGCTTATTTTACAATTATAACGGTTTAATCGCGCCGGAGTGTTTTCCACCGTTCCAAACGACACGTTATCTTGCCACGTTCTAATCAATTGTCAGCGAAGCCGGATAAGTCGAGGCACACGCGAGACACGCTGGTGAAATTCACCTTTGGCAGGTACGGTCTAGCATCCTGCGGGGGATGCCAATCACGGATTAGATCAGGCTCGGAGTATCGCCGCGTACGTCTCCGCCTGGCTGTCTGTCGGTTCCAATAGTCGGAACTGACGCCGCTACTGGAGATCGTCAGCATCGAGTCGATGCTCCGTCGTAAATAATCCTCAGCCTCGTCGATCAACGATTCGGTGGAATCGCCGCTGTTATCGCCGGTCACCAAATCCGAGCGCAGATTTGGCAAACTGCCTCGCGTCATCGGGCATTCTGCGAACAAACAGCGTCCTGACAGAAGTCGCTTTACTGTTATGACGATACACCGTTTATAACGGGTGTCTGGCCAAACGATGTTACTTTAGTGGATCGTTTGGAAGAACTCGTCATTTATTTGTTATTTATCGACGCCATCGGCCAGCATTATCGGACAATACGAATAAGTTTGGGGGAAAAGTGGTGCAACGAAACCTTGGGCGGTGTTTTATTTTTGTCGAGGTCGAGGGCTTCGCGTTTTTATTATCTTTATCGTTATACGCGCGTCGCAACAGAGTAATTAAAAAAGGTTTCGTCAAAGCACCGGTTCAATGGTAAAATAGAAAGAACGCGACAAGTTGCAGGTTGACTGGGTTTCATCCACTTATAATTATCGAGGATGGTTTACAGCGAAATGAGCGACGCAAAAGAAAGCGAAGGTACGTTTTCAGCTTGTGCGAATAAAGGAAGTACGAGTTGAAACTTTACAGATTATCAACTAAGTAAACGTATTTGGTTTGCGGGAAAATTGCCCGCAAGTTTTAGTACTTTGTGTCTACTCTACGAAAACATAGGAAAGGATATGTTTGTATAGTTTCTATGGTTAATAATTGGCAAGAACAAATCTGTCTCAAGGTCTGAAAGAATTCGATCCCGAAAGAATTAAGAAATCTCATTCCTGAAACAATATACAAACAAGTAGCTGCCTTTGGAATTTTCAAATATTCGACATATTAATCAGAGTCGAAAAGCGAAAAGTCCTTTTATGGATTGTTTTATTTGGCAGGAACGGAAGGTTGCGAAAATAGGTGCAAAATATCGAAACGATGTTAAAATACAGCCACGTAATGTAGATCAGTTACGATCGAGTGACTCGTCTTATAACGTTGCACGGAAACGCGAACCTGCGATACGGTTCCAGCCGATCGTAAGGTTTCTGAACGCGATAGAAGGTTAATTTGAAGTGGCTGAGCCTGAGATTCAATTAACCACAACTGGCTTCTGCGAGTAAATAGTAAACTACATGCCCATTTGCGACAGTTTATCTCGATTGAAATTAACTCTACAGGCGTCGTTTCAAATTACACACGCACAATTAATTGTATCGTGACAAGTAGACAAACTGTAAACTATGATTTTAAAATAAAATTTTAAAATAAATTAGTGCGATAGAAAGACAAACCTTGGAAAGTGACCTTCGATCGCGTCCTCTTTGGAACGCTCTTGGAAGCTTTCGAGGACGTCGCAGGAGGGTGCACGTGTGTAGGCGAAGAGGGCATAGAGGACCAGGTTGGTCTGGGGGTAGAAGTGGCCGCCGGAACTCTCCAGGTATCGAAGGACGTCGCGGTTGCTCTCCACGAGTGTCTTCGAGACGGGCCACCGACAACCTCCAATCCAGGCGACGGGATCGAAGACAAAGAGCCACGATATCGAGAGGAGTAAAAGTCGGTGGAGAGGCGGCAATCGCACGGACTCGGAAGTCCTGTGCTGGGGTTGCAACGAGGCCAAAATCCCGCAGGAGAGCCGAGCGATTCGCGGCGATGCACGTCCGGTGTTCGAAGGCCACAGCCGCGAGAACTGAAACAAGTCTGAACAAAAGGAACGATATGAGTCATTGTTGATCATTCCGCGATAGTAAAACCGATTGATTATTCGGTCGATCTACCGAAATGTGTTCGAGTAGAACGAGTCAATTTTTAGAATAACGCACGCAATCGGAAATACAAAATTACAAAATAATAGAAAAGTAATTGTGTACGCTAATCCTTTTTTATTTCGTATTTGCCACATTTATTAGACTACGAATGCAAGAACAAGCTGCAGCGTTGTTTAATTTTCGTAAGCAGCCGATTTTCCATGTTTTAAATTACCGTTCGAGGACGAAATGGAAGTGAAATGACAGAAGAGCAATTGTAAAAGAGATAAGCGATTCGTTATTCGCGTTTCAGTGAGATATTTAAGATCGTAGGTTCCCTTGCACCGCAGCGCAGCGGAAAGGAGTATAATCGAATAATACAGTAAACATTCAGAACCTACAGTATCGGAATAAAACAAAACGAGGCAAGCAATTAGTCATCCAAGTTGACGGAGAGGCGGAATTGAAACGAACGTCAAAGTGAATCGCATTAGCTTTATTCGTTCGACCTTCTCCCACGCGCCAATCATTTCTGTATATATATATACGGAATATATATACACATAGATAAAACGGTGTTACGCCATTTTAAGAATAGTCTACTTTACTGCTTCCATTCATCACCTACGATATTGAATTTCTACGCGCATGGATAAAGATAGTTTTAATTATTATTATTTCGTGTAATATAATCGCCTTCCAAAGAGCTGTCCTTTACCAAGAACGCGTTACTCTAACGTTGTTACTTGGATTCTTCGAATTGAATATGCAGTAATTCCATTTTAGAGGTGATTTCAAACACGTAGGATGCTTGGAATCGGACCTATTCATCGAGATAGCAGAGAATGTTACTTATTACGTTATTACGATAAATAAAAAAAATATTAGACACCAACAAAATATATTTTTATTGTCCATTATCAGCTAAGTATACAGAATTAATTCATTGGCATCTGAAATATAACGTAACGTTAAACAAATATGACAAAGTACATCTCTATAAAATATATTGGTTATCAAACAAGCGTTTAAACAACACACATACAGGATTTTATAAGTATAGTATTATCAACGTGCAAAAATAATGTTTGTTACGAAAACAATGCTGACGATTAAGACCTAAATGTGACAGGAAGACTGCTCGAACATTCCATCGCAGCATCGTACGTAAATATTGAGAACGAAGACAAAGAGCAGAAAGTTGGGATATTACGACCGATAATTACTCGTATTCTGATCTGGGGATCACAAAAATTGAGATCCTGATTACACTCTATCGACGCTAGAATGACGCGATTCGCACTCGCTGCCCTTCCACTTCTCTATCGCGTGTACGATCCTACGAGTCCTCCAATGATTCAGAAATGTTTCTACTACTTGATAAACAAATCTAGTTTGTATCACAAATGTTCGCTATAAGTCCAGCTTACACTGCAGCAGCAGGTCTGGTTTCGATTCTTAAACGATTAACTCCATAATTGTGCATCGTTCCTTCTCACACGAGCGCAAACCAACGTTACGCGATGTTCCTCTAGCTTTTTCTCTCAAATCGTCGAAACTTCAAAAATGTGAAACACCACATTGCACGAAAACCAATGATTCGTAGATGAAATCCATGCTGCAGTCGCGACATACTATCACCCAACATCAACATACTACAAACTATAAACTCCTAACATAATGTATTTATCGTACTTTCCAAATCAAAAACTACAAGATTTGTCCTTTGACACAGAAGGATCGAATCTTTATCTTACGGATTATGAAGATTCTGATCCGAATTCGGATCCTACCTGTGCGTGTGGGTCGTGGCAGAGATGATCGGCGCTTCTGGACAACTCTGGCACCATGCTAGTGAAGCTGATGTCCGATAGCATTACTCTTCTAGCTTCCCGGGTTTTGTCGGACAATCGAAGTCTTCCAGGCACCCCGGTAGGCAGAGCGAACTTGCTGGGCAACGTGGTGAACGTATGGGCCACTTTGTGCGCGAGATAACTCTCGGAACGCCAGTGGGCTGGAAGCGCAGAAATGTCAGTTTGGGCACCAGACTCTCGTCTTGCTCCGCTGATTCTGTCCATCACCGGTCTCAATGGTGCCGCGCTCTTTCGTCGACTACCCGCTAAAGCTTCACGATGAATGATCGGTCTGAAAAAAGGTATAAAACTATACGGTAAATTGTTTGACGTACTTGGCATTTTCGCCATTTCTCCACTCTTCCAAGAATCGCGCAATTGCAACAGCGCGCTTCTTAGTTAAAACGTTGCATCGAGCATACTTTATTATTTATTAAATATTTCAAATTCCTCGTGTCTTCTTACTTTACATTTTAAGGGAAGTTGTACGTACTGTTAAGAAGTAACATTATTACTGTTGCAAAATTTATAAATTTATAATATATGACTTTTTCTAGAAATCGTATAAGTATAGACGATTAACCATATGATTCGTTCGACATGTCGAAGCGTCTTCTGTTAAGGCGGTTGCAAGATGTTGAGCGTTAAATTTGCTGTGACAAAATTTCATATTAAATTACGTGCAATTTCGAACTATTAGTAGCTCGTCGTTGACACCCGAATACTATTAGAGCCTAGACCATCGACTGTGGCTTCTGATCTAATTTTCAGTCCATAATTGTATCAGAATCAGAGCCAATTTCTGATACAACACATACCTCGCTCTATTCTGACACAACAAACTGAAATCATCGAACTACCCAGCAAATCAATCGAAAGAGAATCGTCGAGGATATTTCATTAACGATATGTGAAATGAATGGTGCAAGTAGAGATAAAGGATTTCTTTGTCGCGCTAACGAAACAATTTCGGATACAGACAACGGTGATGTAAAAATAAAGCAAATGAAAAGCCAACGGATGTGTTTGATAAGTTATTGATAATTATAACCGACGACGTAATTAAATCGTATAAATACGCGTGTGCGCTAACGAACAGGAAACGCGTTTAAAGTGTCGTTTCGTGTATGCGTACGCATCATTCGTTAGGAAGCTTCGCATGTGGCAAATTGCCGTAGGCGAAAAAAAGCAGTTGGAAGTAAGTGAAAACGTTTTATGGCTGTTAAATACCAAGCAGCTAATTAAAGTACTTTCAACGAATACACGCATACATATATTAGCGTGAGAGTCTTTCATCAAGTACAGACTGAAGAGCCCTACGAGATGTTAAATAAAATGTCGGTACACCTATTCAAGCGAAAAAGTCGGGTTCTCTTTCCTTTCCTTCGTTCAACGATGATCAACAATAATATCCACGATATTTAGTATATCTTTCAATAACCAATAAATACCAATTAATAATAATAAATAAGAATAAATAATAATAAATAAAAAATAATAAATAAGAAACCAATAAATATTCGATAAAAACAACAGGTAATTTAAATAAAGATTTACGCTCCAACTGTTACGACATTTTTCAAGACGTTCGACGGAGGCCTGGAGTTGCTGTAACGCAAGTGCCGAAAAAATAAAATCGATAGGCTATCGTGCAACGCTAAAAAAGAAGCTGCTAGTTACCTGTATGCAGTAGGTGGCGCGGCTAAAGTGTTCCTTCTGACCGCTTGTCTGGTAGCATGCTCAGGTTCTTCGACAACTCCACACTTGCTGATATCTGTTTCGACCAGCACCGAACACTGAGACCATATTTTGTTCAACCTGGTGCTGGAACTTTCGTCGAACCTATCCACGCTTTCCTCGCGATCGATGCTCGAGCTTTGCGAAGAAACCGCTTCCTCGACGGAGCTGGTCTTCTCACCGTTGCACACCAAGGACTCGCCCTCGGCTGATTTAGCGTACTTCGACAACGCCGGTTGACCAGTAGGCGCAGACTGTGGCCAAGTTTCGGTCTCGGTTATGGAGACCAGATCTTCCTGAAGACCAAGATCGCGACAAGTTTCGTCCGTGGTGAATATCAGCTCGATATCGTCCAACTCCTCGGACTCGTTCTCGGATTGATCGTTCGGCTTCGGCTGGTCGGCCAATTGATTCTGGCGTTGATGTTGCTGCAACACTTGCGTGTCCGGATTATCGCTGAACACCGAATTGTCTCCGTCGGAAACAGATTTCAAGCTCAGATCCTCGAGATCCTTCTCTGGCACCTCCAAGTGATCGACCTGCGCCGCGTTCCCATCCTCCGCCTCGACGTCCTTGGATCGTCTATTCGTCAAGGCGGAAGCCAGGTCGTTCGAAGTCCCACTCTTCACCGTATCGTCCAAACTGACACCAGATATTCCAGCCTGAGATTTAACAACAGTCGCGTCTCTCGACATCGTACACTTCGACGTCTGACTCCTGGATTCCGATTTGGACGAGGATTCTACATGACTGTTAGGCACTTTCTCGACTGTACGAGACTGCAGATCGGGAATCTCGCCGTTACCACTGGTGTTGCTATCGGCACGAGGCTCGATGACCGGCTTAGGTGCCTCTGCCATGTCCTTCGTGTCGACTTTGTCCCTGGACGCGTCCATGAGTACGCCTGCTTGCTCTGACAGACTGACACCGTTTACAGGGTAAGAATGACAGCGAGAAACCAGCCGCGTATGCACGCTACACGTGGTTATTAATAGGTGCATCGAGAATGGAACGCGTTCCTTTTAATTAACACTAACGCTACGGAGAAGCTTCATTTGGCGATTCACGCTTCTGACCGGCGAATTACGCGAATATCTTCCGCCATTATCCTGAATATTTAGATCGTTAATCTACATAATAACATTAACTTTGCTTTGAGCTGAATGGGTTATACCATTTTAGACAGAAATAAAATGACCTTATCGTGGAAATGTTAAGTAGACTTGAAATGTACGAATAATAAGAAAAAGAAACATATATTTAACGACGAAAGAGCAGCAACAACTGTCGAAACTCTCGCACGACTCTTTTAACTGATCAAAGATTTACATAGAACTCCCTTGCTTATCGGTCATACTGCACTTTTAAAGATCTCACACGCATGGCACACAATTTTGCAAATGTGCAATATAATCTCCACGTACTACCATTCGTGTCAAATCTCTACGTGCATTCTCAGAATCGCTTTTCATTCGTTATCGATACATTAGCATAAACAGTAAACATTTACTGAGTTCTCGATCGCGCATTATCCACGTGAATTTTTTGCTGAAATACAGTGAAATAAACGATGAATAAATAAATGGAAAACACTTTTCCAGTAGTTTCTATACGTTAACACGTTGACAGCCACTACGTTGTTGCTTTATTTCCTCCTTTTTTTTTTTCTTTTTTTTACTACATTTACTACGATTAAAATAAATCACGTCACATCGACCGAGAAATTTTTAATACAAATGACTAGATAAAATGGTAGAACGGAAAGTGTGCTATTCGACGATTATCAATTTTCATCGGAACGTAATATTTTGCATAAATCAAGCGCGTGAAACTTTTCCGCCTATTATATATATTACCGAGCGAACAAAGCGCGTAAAATTCGCGCGGCAGTCAACGTTTTCGCGTTATTGCAATTCGTTTCTCCGCGTTAATGTTATTCGTAAATAAAATCAATAAAACGAGTCTCGCCGGTCCGCGCTAGATGATCACGATGATCGTGAAACGCGAAAATAGAAGAAGACGATGGCGCGTGACAAAGAGAAACGAAATCCACGGACGATCTCTTAATTGCTCACAGAGACGCATTTCAAGACTCACTCTTTGACGTCTTCTACTGCGAGTGAAAAAAGACGGGCCTGGGGCGGCGGGCTTGTGGCAGCATCACTAGAAAACTCACTATTCCTGCTTAGAATCTTTCGCCTAAGGACGTGATTCTCAAGAGCGAGCCTCTCGACGACGTCAACGTAGCTCTCGCCAGAAAAATCACCAACGCTCTGCTTAAGACGGCGAAGCTCTTCCCGCGAAGAATCCAGCGCGGAGCGCAGCGATATCACAGTCTGAAAGCATGCATATCGAAAAATCACTTTTATCCGTCAAGCATATAACACTTGTTTCTGAAAAGAATTTTTAAAACGATTCTTCGCACTCAAAACACAAATGATAAGTAGAGAGCGGATTTTTGTGCGCTTATAGAAAACTCGGAAGTACAGTGCTCTTCGTAATATTCGCTAGGTAAAACAATTTCCTACCGAAGCTCCACTTTCTTAAATTATACTCTGAAAAATTTAATTCTACGAATTTGCGTAAAAATCCGCAGTCTAACGACAAGGAGGATCAAGTTCAAGGAGATTCGAATGCAAGATTAACTCTGGTACGATCCCCGAATTTTGTATGTCCCAGTTATCGGTTTTTCCTGACGATAAAAAGGATAAAAGATTCTCGATCGAAAGAACGAGGGGACAAATGTGATTTTATAGTAAACGTTTCGTCGCGTAAATTCAATGCAAATATATTGGGAAATTAACATTAGAACATTGTTAAGTTATAATTCTAAGTATTCTGCGTAAGAACGTATAACCCTACGAATACGACAAGAAATCTCCAATTTGCTCCTTTCCAATTTCTAAACAGTGTATCAAAGAAAATTAACCTTGCCTAATTATAACATCGTTTTCTTAACAAACACTCTGCGTCTATGATTACCGTGAACGATAACAGTAGGTTTCAGTTGGAACGTTCGCAAAATAGCTGCGATTATTATGGGTCACCGTTGAACCAAGGCGCTATCGGGAATTATTGTAATTGAGACGATGGATGAATGTTTGAAGAGAATTGCACACATGATCAACTTTATTACCCTTTCGATTTCATTCGCCGTGTACATTTAATGATCAGGTCTTGGTATATTCTTAACAAAAATATTCACATCATACACTATTATTGTATACTATCGAGAGTTGCCTATTGAAATTACAGAGTGATCGATGATTTTCTTTTTTTTTTTTTTTTTAATTTATCGAGCAGTTGCGCGATTAAATTACCCGAGAGTTCTGATTAGTCGTGTTCGAGATGGAAATTCAGAAAATGATTAGAACATGGGAAATCCGCGTGATAAGTCTGTGAATCGGCAATAATGCCTATGATTACAAAGTTAATAACGCTGTTCCGAGACGAATCGCGTACTTTCTAAGACGAATGAAATCTCGGAAGACGAAATGGATCTACCATCTCGATGGGATAAAAATCTTGGCGAAAGCTTGCATCTATACTAAAATGCTTGAATGGGCCTAAATTTCGTTGGTTCGAATAGGTGGTCGTTTTATTAAATGGTTTAATGTAATTTAGCTTAAGATAGCTTAATAATTGAGCGCTGGCAATGCACGGTAGGAAGTGCGGTTTGATTTTCCGCTGCAACGAAGATTAGAAACAAGACGATTCACGTTTCCATATTACGCTGAATAAAAATCTCACGGTATGGATTTAAATACGCGAATAAAAATATCAGTTTTACAAATAACTGCAGTAATTAGAAAATAGTTAGAATACAAATAATAATCTCGTTAGAATCAAAATATTTATTATGATATCCTGAATTCTTCTTATGTTTATTAACATATACCCCTTCATCTGATGTACCACGAATCGTACACAGAAGAAACATATCATACACTAAGGTCAAAGGATCACAGAGGTAAAAAGATCGAAAGAGAGCGAACAGCATCGGTGTATTATGAAATCGATGGCTCAGGTAAGGGTGTATACAGTGATCTGATGCCCTTTTAGCAAGCATCGTGTCATCTGACCAATCACACACATACACGCGCATTAATAATAAGTCAGGCATACTGACACACGTAGGTATAACAAAGGAGCAATTTCTTCAAAATTAAACTTATTCTTTAACAGACGAACAACTAGTAACAAACAGGTAGTAACTTGACAAAAACTGGCTTTTTGTATCTACCTACATATGTTGGTACGTAATATTTTACAAAGTTGCAAACAAAAGTTCAAAACAAGTACATAAATTATACTCTGTGCCTTTTTGTTTAAATATATACACCTTACTATATAAAAAAATAAATAGAATAGCGTATCAAACTTTAACAGAAGTATTTTTTTTAATTTTACCAATTTGAAATCTATTTTCTAAATATAACACACACACACACACATACGTATACATATATATATATATGTATAATAACGAGTTTGAAATTTGTATTATTTAATTAAAATTCTTTGACAAGATTATTTTATGCCGAGATAAGAAAGAATAAAATAAACGGGACGAATACAAGTTCAATTATTGTGATTAATTGTAACAAAGTTAATCGTGGTGCATTAATTAAATTTGTGATTCAAACATTCAAACCTGATGCAAGGCCCTGACAACGTCTAGTCCGGGGATTCCCGGGGATGGCAGGGTAAGCTGCAGCCCCTGATGGTGAGACTGCCGACCAGCTTCAGCTTCCATGCCTCCTCCTCCCCACCCGATATTTCTAACGAGATCTTGCCACCGCCACAGGTCATTCCGAAACCGTCTTTCTCTTTGTTCGTTTCACCACGTTTTTACAATTTCACCGATTCGAATCGATCGCGTTGTTTCCGTTACCACATACACCCGGGGCCACTGATCGATTCTCCCTCACTGGACCTCGAATCTTTAATGAAATACCGAACAGATCAATCGCTGAACCAGTCACCAACGATAATCCTAATTCGCGGAAACGATCGTCAATTTCTATTTTCCTATGTCACGAGAGGGGCGTGAAATCGGATGCAAAAACACCATGGACACCCTTAATGGCAACGCTATAAATAGAGCCGAAAATGTCAGGGATAGTTAATGCACTACGCTATCCATTTTACGTTCGAAATTAGAAAATTAGGATTGAACAGGCGATTTTAGTTTTTCCTTATAACGTTATGTTTAGTCACGGATGAAAAATCGATTTAAGAAATTTCCTCGATAATGCTGTTCATGAATAAAGAAAACAATCGGAAATAACTGCATACAAGTGAAACACCATATACCGTTGTTCGAAATATTACCTTTTACGTTAAACGTAGGTTTCACCCTGTCGTGAATTTTCTGCGCGCTATGTTTGACTTCTAAGTGATTGCAAACGAGTGTTATTCGTCAAGCAAGATGTGTATAATATATTTTTACTGTAATTTTGAATGACTGTATAAATAAATTTGATATATAGTATATGTTTAATATACTGTGTAAAATGAAACTTATTAAAAACGATAGAAGTAGAAAATTGAAACATCAATATTCAAGGAAAGAAGCTGCGCTTACGATACGAGCAAGCTTTTATAATTTTTCGTAAGATTAAATTGCAACTTACTTTTTACACGGATTTATCAATATACATCAAGACCATTAAAAAATTGATTATCAATAAAAAAAATTAATATTTTCTTTTTAGAAAGTGACGCCGTAGTAACTGCGCGTAATACCATACGGATTGATTCACTTTTACGCACGCACTTTATCGTTCACTGTCGAGAACGTACTACTGAGAACAACGTTTACGACGGTGCTTGAACAGAGTTTTCCAATAAGCAGTCATTGTTAGAACTACTAAAAGATACTAATCAATATGGAACAGCTCGAAGGGTTTATAGGTACCACTTTAATCGTAATCGCTAAGCGCTTCAAATCTATTAGCCCAATGTAATTATATTCCTCAAACACCGATTATCATTTAATTCGGAGTTTCCTTCTTATGTATACACAATTCACCGATATCGTTTAATTAAAGTTTTTATATCAATGAAAAAAAAGAGAAAGTCCACTTGTATATCTCGATCTTAATAGTATATAAAATTACATTTTTCGTGAGTACGACGCGGTAGCGTAATTTTCATACGAATGTCAACAATATAGTTCGAGCTGTCACTTGGCCTTTAATGCAGACGACGAAATAGAAATACATACCCAATTACAACAGGCTTGCCAACGTTGTATGATGCTACTCACGACAAGGAGCATTTTCACTAGGAGATGAATGGCAAATATCGCAAAACTTAATAATTCCCTTTTATCGCTACACATTGGCGCGGATACAAGTATAATTTAAGCAGAAATTAAAATATTTTTGTCATTATACATTTTTATAAAGCACTTTTGTATTCATTATACAGTAAAGAAGTATAGTGAAACAGTAAAATTTTCATCAGCAAAATGAATTAAATCTGATTCATATTAAAAATTATTATTTTATTTTTTCGAACAATAAGATGCAATTAAAACAATGTAAAACAATTTAATTCTCTCGTATAATAAATTAATTTCATTATTTTTCAGTAAAATCTGCCGTTTAAGGTTATTTGAAAATTAAATAGAACTATAGATGACGAGTATTATATAGAGCAATCTGTCCGCGCAAAGTTCGGTATTATACACGAGTGTACTATTATTCGTGACGTTGACATTACATAGTCCATAATAACAGACGAAAAGAATAAGAAAAAAAAGGAACGGAAATCTCATAAATGTACTAAAACAGTGTAATATGTTTCATGGAAAATAAGTTCTAATTGGAGAAGTGAACCTAATTCATAAGGATGGAACATAAGACGAATATAAGAAGCATTTTATTTGTGATTTTTCTACACTTGTCGGTGCTAAATTGTACTCACTTGACGAAAACTTATTTTAAAGATGAAATTACAAATAATGGTGACAATATACCAAAAATCAGTTGGTTATTTAGCAGTTCTGCTGACAGTTCCGTTAGAGTTAAAAGAGCCAGCATAATCAAGTTAAACGAAGATAGTTTATTAAAATCTATGAATATTAAGTGTCGACAAAATTTAAATCGCCTGTGCGGTGATATTACTAAAAATAACGACGAATTAATGCTGTTAGAATGTATTCAAAGTTTTAAGGTATAACTTTGAATTAACAGAACAGTTATTTTATAATATAGATTACTTAATAATACAAGTAAAATAAAATTACTAATTTTAATTTGGTTTTTTTTTATTTTACAGCCAACTGAAGTATCTGGTATTGATGATGAATGCCGACAAGCAATCTGGGACTATATCTTAAATGTTACAGGTAACTCAAATATAGAACGTTTAGCTAGAAGAACCTGTGGCAAAGAGTTAGATTCATTGGATTGCACAGCTTTTGGTAATAAACATGGAGCGTATCTTTCATGTTTAATTGATCAAAGAGAAAAAGTCAAAAATCCTCAATGCATTACATATATCCAAAGGTTGGAATGGATTGCATTCAGTGATTTTAGGATTATAACACCATTTTCTTCAGATTGTGAAAATGATATTAAAAGATTCAAATGTGACAAGGTACAACCTTACAGAGACATATCCCAAGGACAAATATTAGCTTGTTTACAAGAACATGTTAATGAACTTCAACTTCAATGTAAAAGACATATACTTCATGTATCTGAGATACAAGCAGAAAATATCAACTTAGACCGACAATTGTATTTAGCTTGCGAAGAAGATCATACCAGATTTTGTCCAAATATTAGACCAGGAAGTGGTCAAGTATATAAGTGTTTAATGCAACACAAAACGGATAGATCTATGACAACAATGTGCCAAGAACAGCTTGCAAGACGAGGGAAATTAATTGCATCTGATTATAGAGTTAGTAAAGGACTGGTTAAAGCTTGTAAAGATGACATTAAAAGTAATCATTGTAGAAGATCTGTGTTTGAAGATAAAAACATAAGACTTGCACAAATTCTTCTTTGTTTGGAATCTGCGGCAAAAAATGGTAGTAAAATTGATAATAACTGCCAAGCTGAAATGTTTGATCATAGAAAACTTTTAATGGAAGATTATAGATTATCCCCTGAGATAGTTGATGGTTGTGCTAATGATATTACAGCATTTTGTAATAGTTTAGAAGTTGGTGGTGCAACAATTCATTGCTTGATGGAGCATACAAGACCAAGAAAGAGGAAATCGCGAATATCTAGTAAATGTCAGAGAGCGGTAATCAAATGTTTTCATATATACATTTATTATATACATAAGAAATTATATGATAATAAATATTAACGAAATGTTTTTTAAACATATTAATAGTTAGAGGATCTAATTATGGAAGCTGATGCTGGAGAAGATTGGAGAATTGATCCTGTTTTAAAGGAACAGTGTGAATTAATTGCTAATGTAGTTTGCAAAAATGTAAGAAAAGAATTGAAACAAATCAATTGATATTTCATTAAATAATAAGTGAATACTCTAATTTGATTTACATATAGGTACAGGGAGGTGATGCCAGAATGATATCCTGTTTAATGGAACAGCTTGGTACAGACAAAATGACAGAAGCTTGTGAAACTGCTTTAGTTCAGATACAATATTTTGTAGCTAGAGATTTCAAACTGGATCCTCAATTGTATAGAGCATGTAAATATGATGCAACACATCTATGTCATGCAAGAAATGCATGGGCTAGTGATGGAAAACAAATGGATCCAGAAAGAGGACCTCTTGTTTTACCATGTTTATATAGACATGTGTATCATCCTCAAAAGAATATGACAGTAAGAATTCATGTAGTTTCATAAATAACTGTATATAATACCTTAAGTAACTCTGGAAGTTAAAAGCTATTCTTGTATTGGCTCATTTTAGTTAAGAACAGAATGTCTTGAAGAAATTAGACGCGTTATGAGGCAAAGAGCAGTAAATGTTGATTTACAACCTGAAATTGAAGAAGTGTGTCTGGCTGAGTTAGCATCATTTTGTTATGACAAAACAGCAAAAGGAGAAGAAATATTATGTCTTCAAGATAATTTAGAACGGTAATAGTAGGTGTATTCGGTCATATGAAAATTTCTAAATTTATTTTACAATCCATTTGTTTTATTCGCAGTTTAAGCAAAAATTGCAAATTAGCAGTCGGCAATTTTACGGAAGAACAAGCAGAACGTGTTGAATTGAATCCAATAATTTCTACTGCATGTTTCCATATCATAGAGCGTCATTGTGAGGTGCAATATAATTTTTTCAAAAATTTAAGTTAAATATTAACACATAATTTTTACTTATAAAACTTATATGAAATATTTAAAAAACAGGAAGTATTAAAATATGGTAAAGATGAGGGTGATATGATGGAATGTTTAATAGAACACAAAAATGAGATAGAAGTGCGATCTGATTATAAATGTAAAGCAGCAGTGGAACACTTCCAATTGATATCATTAAAAAATTACCACTTTACCTATAAATTTAAAGAAGCTTGTAGACCATCTGTTAAAAGATGGTGTCCAAAGTGAGTAGATTTCTTAAATATTTTATATGAATTTTTATCAATACAAGAATGTTTATATTTTAAAATGTAATATTTAGATCTAAAACTAAGGCAGAAGTAATAGAATGTTTAAGTACAAAAGTGCAAGAAGATATAATAAAAGATACTCAACATCACATAACAAAAGAATGTAGACAACAGTTAAAAGCGCAGCTTTATCAACAAAGAGAAAACATTCAGTTCGATCCTATCTTACAGGCACAATGTACAAATGATATTAAACAGTATTGTTATGATCTTGAACCAGGAAATTCTCAGGTTGTGATATATACATATTTATCTTTATATCTATATTTTGATATCTATATTAATGCAAACATTATTATTTCAGATTCTCGAATGTTTAGCGGCACACAAGTCAAAATTAACAGATGCGTGTCATAAACAATTGTTTAAAGTGAGGAAACAAGAATTCCAAGACAGTTCAAGCGATTTCACTTTATTAAATAATTGCCGAGCGATGGTAAGGCAATTCTGTCATGATATAAGTCGTTCACAAGCGTTAGATTGTTTAAAAAAATATAAAGATGAACCAACATTTGATGATAAATGCAAAAATATTGTTATTCGAAGAATGATTGAACAAAACACAGACTACAGATTTAATACTGCATTACAAATTGCATGTTCTTATGATATTAATAAGCATTGTAAAGAGGTATGTTTGAATATATTTTACTTACATCTTTTTTTCTACCTTATTATATGTATGACATTCCCTCATTAGGTTTTATTAAATGAACCTACCGATAAAGAACTTGAAGGAAAAGTTATAAGGTGTTTAAAAATTAAATTCCGAGAGTCAAAACTTTTAATAAAATGTGAACACCAAATGACTAACATACTTAGAGAAGCAGCTTTAAATTACCATTTAAATCCATTATTAGCCACAATGTGTGCACATGAGGTATTTTCATTAGAATATTTTCAAAAAAAGGATAAATAATTTGAAATAAATATATTGACCAATATAATAACTATTTGGAACAGATTGAAACAGTTTGTAAAGCAGATGACAATGATCCAGGAGCTGTAGAAGAATGTTTGAAAATGGAATTTAATGCTGGAAATAGAGATATGAAAGAAGAATGTCGCCTTGAAATTGCTGACTTAATAGAACAAACAAGAGCAGATATTAATGTAGATCCATTATTACAGAAAGCATGTGCCGTCGATGTCAATAAATACTGTAGTGATATTCCTCAAGGCGCAGGGAGGCGTATGTTAAACAAATAAACAATACATTTTATATATAAATTAATTCATTTATTAGAAGTATAAATCTGTCAAAATTTTATTATTTCTTCTTCTTTTCTTAGATATCATGTGTTTACAAAATGTATTAGAAGACAGTAACAAGTCTCTACAACCTGATTGCTATAAGATGTTAACTACAAGGATCGAAATGTTCAGAAATGCAGCTAAGGTAGCGAATTCTATATTTCTCATAATACATATTATATATTAGTAATATATGTATATTTATTTATTTTCAGTTAATTGGACCAAATTCAATCCAGGAATTGTACTCAACGGTAAATCAATCTCCCGCAAGACGATATTTCATGATTATTGCGTTAACAATGATTGGCTTAATTTTCATCACCGGCTTATTTTGTGGGAGAGTAACAAGACGAACAATGTTAATGAAAAATAAGTGATAAATTATAGTGAGAAAAATCCGTCCTCGAAGATTTTCTATCGCTGTAATTAAAAAGAAAAAACAAAATCAATTCCAAGTAAACATCGAAACAAAGAAGAAGAACAGAGTGATTGTACTGGTGACCTTCCTGCAAGATATCAAACTGTGCAAAATTAAGATAGAAGTTGCATTTTTTAATATTTTTATTTATCTCCTTTTTTAATACACATATAAATTTATAAAAGAGAGCGAAAGGGAGAGAGAGAGAATATATATATATATTCATATACATATTATGTACACGAATCTACAATTTGTCATTCAGTAGTATTATCATAAATATAAAAAACTGTAAGATTGAATGAATGTAATGTATGATAAATTGAAAATGATTTGCATTTAAGGTAGATTTTAATAAAAAAAATATATTAATAGAGAATATATATATATACAATAAATTGAAATGAGGAATGAAATTTTATGTCAATATTCTATACATTTGTGATATATAACAAAAATTCGTATAAAAATAAAATGGTCACATTTTATTTAAAGCAAAACATATTATCTGGGCACAAATTACCTTGGTCTTCCATTTTAGAACGTTAGAATGCATATAGAATAAAAATTATCGGGAATTATTTACAATGAATGAACTTGGACAATTATGTAATGTGCACATAATATGAAACGTATAAGAATATTACATATTTCTTGACAAAAAAAGTTATGCTCAATTTATAGTAATTAAAGCTATTTAATCTTATCATTGAATACATATATTGCTACTGTGTATCATAAGTTAAGGTATAAGACCAAATATTGTGTTACACGAAATATATTACGAGGTGAAATTTCAAGGTAAAGATGCTGAACTGTAGTCATGCCGTTGTTAGTTATAAAAAATAAATTTTCTTTCTACCCATATTTATATTGTAAAAAAATATAACCCAAGTATCATATACGTAATTCAGTCATAACGTCTAAATATAATGAAACTCAAGGTAAATGAAGCGAATTTCTCATTTAACAAAATTTAATTTCTAGTAGGCTATAGTTCCGCTGAAAATCTATCTATCTGATATGAATCATTACTAACAAAGTTAGTTGATGGCCACAAAAGGAATACAGCGAAACCGTGCACCTTGCTTTGCTTTTATGGCAGTAATTTTTGAGTTCAAACGGTGCGCAACGGTCGTACATATAATTCGATTGAAGGTCGCGAGGAGGCGCGACAATCGCGTGAAGTACAAGATCCAGCAAAACATTAACATCAAAAATCTCTGTAGCGCAGGTCCGCAACGTTGTTTCCGTTGAACGGACGAAATTGTAGCTACAGTGAGTGTTTGTTGTGTGAGAAATCTACATTGTTTAATGTTGTGTGTGTCAAGTGTATAACATGATTGTTACGAAATATTAATGAATCCCTATTGTTACCAACTCAAATAATAAACAAATACATGAACTAATTATATCAAACAATAGTATCGAAAACCATCGTGGAAAGATTGATATATGTGACGTGCGTCGAAGGACATCATCATCGAATAGAAAAACACATTGAAGGAGTAGAACGCATACGACAAATGTCGAATCGTAATGAACTGCGCAACGACATAGGTGTGGCGCGTAAAAGAGAGAGCGTACATACACGTATACGTAGGCATACGTGCAATACGAGCTCCCTTGGAATGAATGTAACCAAGAATTGGATTAACTTTCCCCAGTTACATTTACGTTTAAGAAACCGATCGATTCTTTCAATGCGGTATCAACTATAATAATCTGATCCTACTAAGTTAATCGTCTCTGCACTATATCGCCGAGTTACATTGGTATTTAAGATCAAGATAAATCCTGTACTGATCTCGGTGAAGTAAATATCACTGTTGGTATTGAAAACACACCGTGTGGGTGCGTGTGCGTGAGCGTACTCGTGCCCGTGCCCGTGCCTGCGCCTATGCGTCTCCGTTCGCCAAGTTGTGGTGATCTTCGTAGAGGT